TTTTTTTTAACAGGTAACTTTCGTAGACCTGTTATGAAGGGATCTGAATGAAGAAGCAGCCTATTTACTAAATCTGTGTTGGTCACAATGCGACTCATTTTACGCGTATGATTTTTTCTAAAAGACTTGATGTATTTGTTAGTCGCTTCAGCTGCTTCTTCAGACAACTCTCCGATTGACAACAAACCGTAATCTATAACATTAGCACCATGAATTAGAACTTTGTGAACGGAAGCAGGCATGTTATACCACGGATACTCGGCAACTAACTGCCGAGCCGTCTCTAAAGCGAACTCTTCGAAGTTCGTCTTATTAATATTATATCCCGAATTTAAACATTGAAGGATGATCCAGCAACGATCTAGGAGATCCTTCTTGATCCCAGTAATTTCAGCGGAAATTTCTGAATTCGAGAAAAACCGCCTGGCTGTATTACCATCGTTTGATGTTCCGCTTCCGCCACTTTTAGGCTTATCCACTATAAGCCCTAATCTTTCTCTAAATTGAGTCTGAACATATGATTTTTTTGCAGCAACAAGCATTTTGTCATTAGCGGACCTAGCTTGCCATTTCCTAACATCTAACTTGTACGCGACATGAACAAAATATTCAAAAAAACGTATTAACGCGTGAAGAGGTGATAAACCAAATTCATATTTACTCTCATCGACTTCCTTATTTAAACATTCGTCAATTTTGTTCATTTCACTGGGCAAGGCGTTACAAATAAAACATTTTGATGAAGAAACACCACTAAGTGCATTACAAACTTTACCATCTACCATAGTAAGTTGCAAACAATGAGTAATGCGATATTCGCGATCTTCTTCCTTGAAAACAGTAGGCTGCAAGTTCCTTATTTTATCTTTAAAATGAGCTTCTTCCTCAACTGACACTGCAGTCGATTCCTTCAAATATCGGAGGCGTATAGGACGACAGTATCGAGTTGATGAAGGACGAGGATTTTTCCACAAAACTACTGAATTTTCTTTGTTATCTGTTGTCAAAACAAGCTGAAGTGGCACATACGAAGTAACAAACAGGCTACTGTCTTCAAGAGTGGAGTCAGAAAAACACTGTTTATATTCTGAATGCCCTGTACTGCCATCGAAACCCCATTTCCCTATCAAAGATATCTTATCTAGAGACTCATTAGGTACACTATCCAAAACATCTTTTTGAGACTTGAGAATCCGATTGGCAGTATGATCTAATAAACTTTGAAGTTCGACTTCGGCGGATGATTCTGTAACAGTAATATCTGAAGGATAACAGTGTTTTTTAGATTCCACGACACTTTGGTAAGATGGGAAAATGGTTTTTGAAAACTTATTGTCTATAAATTTCTTTACTAATATATATTGATGTCGAGTTAACTGAGCTTCAACAATGAGCGATAAAACTTCGCTAGAATCGATTTCAGGACAAGACAAGCTATCGGACAAACTAGCCAATCTTCTCCTTTTTGTACGTTTACTGGTGTCGTCAAAGTTAATTCTCGGACGGCCATGCGATGAAGAAGTTGATGGTTTAACTTCGTCAAAGCTCTGAGATACACGTAACTCAGTTCGCTGTACATCAATATTTTCAACGACATGCAGCCAATCTGAATATTTTTCTAAGAATTTAGATCTAGTACGATTCGACTTTGCCCAGTAGTGGGAAATTCGTTTACAAATATTCTTAATTTTAAGGCTTAAAGTCTCTAAATCAATATTTTCGATGTCGTCAGAAAGGGATGATGTTTCGGTCAAAGTGCTCAGGACGTGTTGCATTTTTTCATTTGGATTACCCACTTTAGAGTGCCAAATATCAAAAATTGTCATCCTCGATACAGAACATTTGAAAAATGTACCTAAAACAATATGAAAGCTGAACTTAAAAAAAAATTAAAAATTCAATACTATGGACATGCATACTTTGACACCCCTTTAAGCCAAGAAGAGGCAGCAAGATGCAAATGAAACTTATAGCTCTTAATAAGGACATACTCCTTATTCAAAAACCATATACCTCAGGTGCAGCTCAGCGCAGCCAAAAGTTGTAGGTCTAAAGGAAATTAAGTTATGCCAAAAATTTTCACCAAAAAACTGCCTTCAATAAAAAAATTATATAAAAAAAAGTATGCATAAAAAAAATTAAAAAAAATTGATAATAAAAGTACATACCATGCTCTTGGATCTCCATGCTTTCACAACACGTAAACACTTGATTTGGAATAGTGACACTCAAAAACAAAGTGATTAAGTTTCGATGACTCACACGTGGTGATAATTAGTCTCGCGATGCGCTCACTTCCGATGCACAAAAGTGAATGATAACGTGACCTAATTACATTGATATTTATAGTTTTTGGAAGCTTGTTAACTAGTTACTAACTTAGTGAGTTGATCTAACCGGGATAAGCCAATGATTTTTTTTGATTTATGGCCTATGGGGGAATCACAGTGCAACGTTGTTGTCAAATATAAAAAAAAAGCAAAGAAATTCCTAAGATCTGCTAACTCGCTCTGTAGCTCAGTTAGTAAGAACGAATTTGTGGAGCGAAGCGGAATTTGTCTTTGTGTTTGTGATTGTTAGATCTCAGTTTCTTATAAGTATGATTTTATTGTATGGGAAGAAAAAGTCGGGACAGCAGAAGTAGATCAAATTTAACGAACTTTTTTTCGTACAAAATGAATAACATTTTATTAAATTTGACCAACTTCTACTGTCCCGATTATTTCCTTCCAATACAATAAAATCATTATTATAAGAGACTAAAGGCCCATTTAGATGGGGAGAGTTTCTCGCACGTTTCGTGACGAAAACTCGTAGGCGATTATCGTAAGCAATAATCGCCATAAGATTATCGTATCATAATGTTTACATTGAGGCAAGAACTAAAATCTCCTACGATTATGTCATACGAGATTCGCAAGCAACTTAATCGCCTCCTCGACTGTTTATACGGAGGAATATATAGTAAGGAGATTCTTGCTTACGAGTTTTCGACTTGTCTAAACACGATCTCGTATGACATTTTTTCAAGTTCATACGAGATCGTGTTTAGACAAGTCGAAACGTCGTAAGTGAGAGAATTGCCATTCGAGATTTGTGATTACTGCGGTATGACTATGGATATATCAAAATGATGCAAAAACCATTCAAATTTGAAACTGCTGATAATATTAAGTTCATTGCACTGTATAGAAATATAATTTTGATTTATCATTTTTTTTTTAATTTTATAACTACTGACACAAACAAAAACTGACAATTATGATAAATTTATAGGGCGAGTGAGTGCGTGAGTGACTGAGTGAGTGCGTGCGTGCGTGCGTGCGTGCGTGCGTGCGTGCGTGCGTGCGTGAGTGAGCGAATGGTGAGTGAGTGAGTGAGTGAGTGAGTGAGTGGTGAGTGAGTGAGTGAGTGTGTGAGTGGTGAGTGAGCGACTGGTGAGTGAGTGGGTGAGTGAGTGAGAGAGAGAGTGAGTGGTGAGTGAGTGAGTGTGTGGTGAATGAGTGGGTGAGTGAGTGGTGAGTGAGTGAGTGAGTGAGTAGGGAGTGAGTGGGGAGTGAGTCAGTAGGGAGTGAGTGGGGAGTGAGTCAGTGGGGAGTTAGTGAGGAGTGTTTATTGAAAAGTACATTTACTTGAAAAGTCGTGTCGGCCATCTTGGATTTAGAAATAAATGCTATGTTCGTAATGAGCACCACCAAATACCTCAAAAACGATACCCAACTTGCCATTATTTGAAAAGTGCGGGCACGACTTTTCATCCTGGATTTAGAAAGGAGTGCCATATTTGTTACGAGAGCACCCTAAATACTATATTGCCCACGCTATATTCGACCACAGAGGCACTCACTCACTCACCGTTATTTGAAATTTTTTTTTCGCTCTCGTTCCATTAATTCTTGTCTTAGAAAAGCAGTGATAATCAAAACACCCTCGCGCACTGCACTCGTGGTAGAAACGGCTGGCACAGAAACTCGAAATACGATTTTTGCTTTCGAGTTCTGTTTACACGGAGACGTTCAATATTGAAAGGCGAGGAGATTATCGCTCACGTGGACGGTCGATAATCGCAAATGTTTAGACGAGGAAAGTTTTTTATATTCTTTCGATAATCGCATCTTCGAGACGAGAAACTCTCTCCATCTAAATGGGCCTTAAGTCTATCAGCATGAAAAAATAGTCAATTTTATTCATTTTGTATGTAATACTACAATATATATATATATATATATATAGCAACTCAGTTTTTTTTCTACTCCCATCCACCGATTTTCGGGATTCGGGCGAATAGAAAAAACAGACTGAATAAACCGAATACCGAACAGTGACCGAATATTCGTTGCAACTCCAATAAAAGGGAACCCCCATATAGGGGACGATTTGTTGTTACGATGCGTTCTTTGAGATTGATCGAAACGACGAATCGAGAACGAGAGATCATCTATATAATGGGAGCCCTAATATAAAAAAGTTTTATTATTTCATTCTTACTTAATTCAATGCAATCAATTACCTAAGTCTATATCTTAGGCATTATATTATAAAATATGTATTTATCTAAGTATTTATATAATTTATAACAATTTAATATTATTATATTATTTTTAAATTATATATTTTTTCTTGTTTTGTTGTGCACATATGCCCGTTCTTTTAGTTATAGTGTCCTGTATTTACGTCTGCAGGAAGAAATTTCTATTAGAAATAAGCAGAACCTTTTGTTTTTGATTTCCCTTGTATTCTTTGTGACTTGTTGTATTTTTCCTGTATAATAAACTATTAAATAAATAAATAAGTCGAAACTTCGCAAAAGGTCCACGGTGTATGTTACTAACCTCATCAGACTGTATGAAATCAGAATCATCACTGTCGTCATCCTTAGGAACTATACCCATTATGCTCATTCTGGTTGCTCTAGACATCACCATTTGATCCTCATTAGCGCCGTCGTCCGGGTCACTTTGATCTTCTACATCACTCTGGTCTTCTACATCACTTTGATGCTTGGCATCACTTTCATCTACTACGTCACGGGTTTGTTCTTTTACGTCATCGTCAGTTTCGTCACTTGATTCAATCATTTGTTTCTTGTTTCTGTAAAATGGCGAAAATAAGATTTCATGTAAGATTTTATAAACGTGACAGTTTATGTAACAGTTATGTCGCGCACACGGGATAATTTCAACAAAATGTATCTGACGATATTCGAAAGTAGGTTATTTGAAAAAAGTGCCTGCCAAATGAGTCAAATGTTATCATGTGAAACGATAATAAAAAAAAAAACTATTTTATTGATAATTGAAATGAACAGACAAGCCATTTTTTCATTGAATATCGTCAGAAGAAGCTTAGCTACCTCAAGAATCGACTCAATTAAGCGGTAAGCCCGTAGTAAAAACTACAGTCAGCCGTGGAAATGGGACGTGAAAAGACCCGAAACGTTGGTTTGATTGAAAAAACAAAGTTACGCGATTGTAACCCGAAAAAAACAGTTTAAGGCCGGCCACATACAGTCGGACTCCCGTTTCGAGCAAAAGCATAAAAATCACGAACTTATCAGACAATTACAGGCTATTCCGTTCAAATGTTTTGCCGATTCGAAATTCCGGTGGTTTGTGCAAATGGAATTCCGCACGGAAAAAGCCGTTCCAGCCGTTGCGTTCGGAACGGAACGCAAGTCTACCATACATTTTTTTTAGAGCCACAACACAATGTCGTAAATTCCGTACGTACTTTCGCTGTGAGAACAAGTGGAGTGTTATTCCGAACGGGAATAATCGTATGTGTGTGATGTATATACGGAATCTCGAATCGATATTCCGGAACGGAATTCCGTCTGCATTATAGCCGGTCTAATTTTCAATTTGTAGCTATCGTGAAAACCTAAAAACTCGATCAAAAAAACTTAATTTAAAGTAAATTAATTTGGTTTATCTAGTCTATTAATATTATACTTTAATAAATAACTAAGATCTTTAAGTACCAATTATTTGTATTTTGTGGAGAAGTAAATACTATTATTACCATTACCTTTTTATCGAACTAGTCTTCTGAGGTCCGTCACTTTCCGGTACTTCGTCGTCACTTTCATCACTAGGTTCATCACTTTGGTCCATAATACTATCATTATGTAGGGATTTCCTAATATTAACATCGTCATTGTTAATCTTCAAAGGTGTATCTTTTAAACAAGCGAGTTTCTTCTGCCTATCGTGTTCAATGACGATCGAATTGTCAGTGTCGGAGTCTATAACTATCATTCGTTTGTTTTTCTTTCGCATGATTATGGATGCGTTGGGTGATAATTTTGGGCGTAATATCGGAGGTCTTTTTGGTATTAATTCAGGGGATACTTCCTGTTCCTCTGTAAAAAAAGTGGTTTTTTTATATTTTATCAGCAGTAGGGCTCCTTCTCAAAGTGTTCGTCCAGGGTAGTACTGCCACCTTACCTATTTTAAAGCGTTGCCAAGCAGTGTTGTGAGCATTACTGCGTCCCGGTTTAGAAGGGTATGGGCTCATTTAGACTGGAAGTGCGGGCGCGCGGGTCTTAGCGTCTTCCCTTTCACAGTGCCGAAGCGGCTACGAGCATGTAGATCCACACGCAGAAATCGCAAACAGACGCTAGACCGCTGTCTTCCTGAGACGTAAGTTAACAAATCACATGGACCTGTAATTGCACCAGTACCCTTACCCTTCAAAACCAAGAACAGTGATGCCCATATTGCTGCTTGGCAGCAGAAATATGATTAGCTATATTCATGACACATGATGTTTACAGTTTCCCAATTATTTATATTAATTTACCAAATAAAATGTACTTCTGTATGCTATACCTTCATCTGAAGAGCTGAGGACTACCCTATTGTATGACATATCTGACTGCTGCCTGATGCTGCCTCGTCTGCTACCATCTACACAAATTTTGTAGGTGCGAGTGTTATTATGTTATGATAAATATACTAAGGGTGTAAGTCTATCCATTATTTATAATTGTAACTTTGAACTTTGTGTTTGAACTTGCAACTGCCTACATCAGTGAGAGATGAGTGCTTTGGTATGTTGTTCAAACATGGTTCAAAGACAATAATTCTATTTGTAATGAATTGATATTCAATTATTTTTTTGTGAAACTACTCCACAAGTTCGTTATAATTATTAATACAAGGATAAGAAGTCGTTGAAAACCAAATACAAAGATCCGACAACAAGCACATAGAAAAATTTGCGAGGTCCGCTGGTTCGTTCCGTGGCTTAGTTGGCATAGCGTCTGGCACGGTTTGCTAGAAGATGTCGGTCGGTTCGAATCCGGCCGGATCGAAGGAATTTTTCTGAGTGTTCGATCTTTGTGTTCATAATTATAACAAACTAGTGGAGTAATTTCACAAAAAATAGTTGAATATCAATTCAATACAAATTTAATTACAGTTAATAGCGACATCTCTAGCCAGAATTGGTAGCTGTAAAGTTACCCAACCGGGTGACGAAATACTTTCATAGATTTCTCATAGATGGCGCTACGGCTAAAAAGTCGTTGAAAACCAAATACAAAGAGCCAACAACAAGCACGTAGAAAAATTCGTGAGGTCCACTGGTTCGTTTGTGGTTTAGTTGGCATTTCGTTTTGCACGGTTTGCTAGAAGATGTCGGTTCGAATCCGGCCGGATCGAATGAATTTTTTGTAACTGTTCGATCTTTGTATTTATAATTCTAATTAAGGAGTCTTCCCGCACGATGTACCATTGCTGTTCTGTGCGTCTGGCTCACCCAGGGCAAAATTCTTTGACCACCATGGCAAGCATTATAGTGTATGCCATCGATATGATACAAAGGTGAGAGATTTAAATATGCTACAAATGACATTAGTTGATAACTGTTTTATGTTTAAATAGAGGGCATGCTAATCTGACAGATGCGCATGATTGTGAAATGCTTGCGAGCTGCACACGTGCAATAAGTAGTGCGATCTGTTCACGTGTCACGAAGTTTTGTGATTTTCATTCGTTAAAGCATTTTTGGCTTTATTATGCCATACAATTTCTACCCACATCATTTCACAACTCAATTTCTTTTGCAATACTACTACCTTATAGTCCATTAGTTTAGGTACTTAACTAAATGTAAACAATCTTGATACATCTTTTTATTGAAACATATGCTTTACAAATCAATAGGTATAAAAATAGGCATGCAATTTCATATGAAGCTAAGTTATTTAAATTTTGTATTTGAAGGTAAGTAAAAATCATTTTATAAAAGTATATTTCATTAAATAGACATCTCAAGATTGTTTACATTTAGTTAAGTGCCCAAAGAAATGGACTATAGAGAATAAATTTCTTATGTGGGGTAATAGGAATGCATTATATATTTTTTTTGGCATGTGATTGTTCACTTGGAATGACACTTTAAATTCCCTTTCGACATTCAATCATGTCTTAGTGCAAGCAAAGAAAAGTGGTAGAAAAATGAGGAAATCTCACCATCATCGCTGCTAGCTATAGCAAGTGGCTCAGCTATGATACTTTTTCTAAGAACAACTTTGGGAACCATTGGTCTTGCACTTTCGCTACTAACGTCTTCTGAAATACATTTTTTAATATTATATATTTGTTATAAAGCAAAACAAAACCTTATAACTAATGACAATTTCAATTCTTAATGAAAATTCTACTTATTTATAGAATTTGTCCATCAACAAAATATCTTTCAATGTTAGTTAAGGGGAAGACACTTTGTTCATGTGTTCATTGTCTAGTTAACATTGGCACTAATATTTATTTTACTCACTATAATTAACTACATTAACACAAAAGGTTTAGTTATATTTGAATTGTCCAGTGGTAATTTTCTTTGACTTAATATTTTACTGGGAAAAGCAATACTTTTTGTGGCATGAGTAATAACCTAAAATTATTGATAAAGAAACTATTTCTTGACTCAGGGTCGTATTCTAGATCTATACTCAATGCTCGAGTCAGAACTTGAGTATGATTCAAAGCACTAGAAATCATACTCAAGTCCTTGCCATTAGGGTCGTATTTCCAGTGCTTGAAATCTTACTCAAGTCTGCTCAAATCCTAACTTGAGCATTGTGTACAGTTCTGGAATATGACCCTAAGTCTGCCGTGTTCATGGGACCTGAAAAGGGCCTGAAATACACGAGATTTAGGGTCGTATTCCAAAACTGTACTCAATGCTCAAATCAGCATTTGAGTATGATTCAAAGCACTAGAACTCATACTCAAGTCCTTGCCATTAGAGTCGTTTTTCCAGTTACGACCCTTAGGGTCGTATTCTACAACTCTACTCAATGCTCATGTCAGGATTTCAGTATGGTTTAAAGCACTCAAAATCATACTCAAGTCCCTGCCATTACGGTCGTATTTCCAGTGCTTGAAATCATACTCAGATTCTGACTTGAGCATTGAGTAGAGTTCTGGAATACGACACTTAAGTCAGGATTTGAGCAGACTTGAGTATGATTTCAAGCACTGGAAATACGACTATAGTGGCAAGAACTTAAGTATGATTTTCAGTGCTCACTGCAATAGTCAAGTCCTGACTTGAGCATTGAGTACAGTTCTAGAATACGACTCTCAGATTCGAAAAAATTGTTTCATTTCTAATGTGTAACAATTGCGAAAACCTAAGATAATAAATTATTCAAACAACCGAAATAAATCCTTACCATCTGTAGACGACTCCTCAGATTCCGCTATGAAGACTGTCTGGTTCTTTATAGTAGGTTTCTTCCTTGGAGTATAATACACTTCAGCCATTAGGCTGTTGTCAATAATTTCACCGTCTGAGTCGCTCCCGGCTCCCGTCTTGTCGCGATATTCGAAGAACGAATTCTCCATTTTCTATACCTATGTATATTTGAAGATTTTTTACTTAAATTGTATTTATGTTTCTGGAAAATACAAAGTGTAATAAAATCGAAAACTGAAAACAATGTTTTGAAAATGAATGTCGTTGATACGTTTTGTAAATGCAAAAAAGGACTACTCGATTTGATGAGGAATCTGGTAATATATTTTTTCATGAAGCTTTCATCGCTGAAAAATATATGTTTTCCTTAAAAGTAGATTTAAAAAGAAATATTACACAATAATTACTACGTGAAATAAAATAATTCAATAAATATAAAAAAATAACCAAAAACGTACCTAGTGAAACAAAACGTTAGCAAAAAAAACTAAACACTGTCTCATTTGCTCACTAAAAGATTACTCTGATGTTATAAAAGAAGTTAGTAGCATGCTCAGAATGGTTTATTTTCCATCGTGTTATGTTCACTTTATAAATAAAGTGAATAAATATCTTGTACAATAAATCGCATCGAAAGAATTGTCAATGTCAAGCCTGAGTATTTTTTTATAGTCTGTAGTATTTATTTTTGTGAGACGCATGCAAACGTTCTCATATTGATGGAGCCATAAAAATAAAAAGTGAAGTGAAGTGAAACAAATCGCTAAAAACTATATTTTTTTCGGGTTTTGCTAACAGTTATTCGTTTCATTTGAATTCTAAGAATTACACTTGTAACTTTTATTAAAACCCGGAAAAATGACTGAAGTCCAACTACAAGAGTTCAAACTTGACCCTGACTCGGAGCTCCGCTTCGAAGTGGAATCTAAGAACGAAAAAGTGGTTTTAGAGGTAAATTTTTCTAGTAGCACTTTGAAACATATATAACAATGACACCAAATATATGAGAACTTTCTTCAAACACTGTCGATATGTTTGAATGTATCGTTGCACAACAATTTTTCCAGGTAAAAAGCGGTTACGCGGAGTTATTCGGCACAGAACTTGTGAAGGGGAAGCCTTATGAGTTCCATACGGGTGCTAAAGTGGCCGTATTCACGTGGCATGGTTGTACAGTGGAACTTAGAGGAAAAACTGAGGTGGCTTATCTTGCCAAAGAAACTCCTATGGTAAGTTATTTACATTTTCATATTACATTTTCGAATTAAAGAAGATTGACGGAAAGTTAAGTCCACATCAGCGTGCTTTCATGTTCATTTTGCTTAGTCATTTGTCTATTCAAATAATGGACTGGCACATCTGAACCCATCAATGCTGAATCGGCATGCACTAGGGGCATATGCTGTTGTTTAATCATTTTAATGTGTATGCTAAGGCATTTCATGTCAGAGAGAGATACAAGATCACAAACATGCACCTTGTAATTATAGTAGGTGTTAATTTATTTAATAATGTACTAGGTAATATATCTCAACGTCCATGCAGCATTAGAACAACAGAGAGTCTCAGCAGAACAAGAAAACACAAGAGGTCCAGTAGCCATGGTTGTAGGACCGGGCGATGTTGGAAAGTCGACTCTAACCCGCCTCCTACTGAATTACGCTGTCCGTATGGCTCGGAGGCCTATTTATGTAGATTTGGATGTTGGACAAGGTTCTATTAGCGTACCTGGCACTATTGGTAAGTTGTCACTTGATTTTATTTTTGGCATGTAATAGTTATATCAGTCTTGTAACAACTTCTTGGAGTAAAGTTTAAATTGTCAAACAAAAATCAAACCTGTGCTCTAGGTGTCAGGTGTCAAGGTTCTTTTCCAGCACAGTTATCGATAGTTGTAAAATAAATGGATGCAATTAATAACACCACGTAATAATACAGACTACGGATTTTTGTTTCTCCACTTTGTTATGATTTAATGTTGTCTTGACTAAGGCATTGACATTTCTTTGCTATAAATGTAATTAATTGAACGTTTGTGCATTGATTTCAAATAAAATAAGCATTTGAGGAATTTCCATGTATTCTATCATTGATTAATTATCATAACAAATATTCTGTGACTAAAATTTATGGAATATGAGTTTGAATTATTGTGGCGGAATGTACCCACGATTTTGATTCCTAAGTTCATTTCATATGTGAATGTTTAGATATACACTGAGAGTGAAGAAGACATTGTGATGAAACACTTTGGTAAACATGTGATATCCTGAACTCGCATTGAGCCAGCATGATAGAGCCGTATTCCAGAACTCAATACTCAAGTCAGGACATGAGTTTTGCAGTGAGCACTGAAAATCATACTCAAGTCCTTGCCATTAGGGTCGTATTGCCAGTGCTTCAAATCATACTCAAGTCTGCTCAAATCCTGACTTGAGCGTCGAGTAGAATTCTGGAATACGACCTGTAGACTATGACCTAAACTATCTTCTTAACACATTCGCGCGAGCTACCTACGTACCTAACACTAATAAGTGATGTAGAACAACATACTTTGACGTAATAAATTTTTTTGGTTTTATTCCAATACTAGTATAATATAGTGAATGATGTGGTTTGGAAGAGGATGCTGGTTCAAATCCGGTTCGAAGGACCGAGTGGCCCTTCATGCCCGATTTGAAGCAGCGTATTGTGTAGACGGCCCATACAATAAAAATGTAGGACGTCATAGGAAAGTCATTTTCTCTGGCCATAGGCTTAAAGTTGCCCTCGTCGTCTTTTGTCCAAAATAAAGTCGGTATAATTTTGAATCTATCCGATTATCTGAATCTGTCCTCTGTTAGATGAAATCCTTTAGCCTGTAATTATGTTTTTTAATTTCTTTTATTTCATCGAAGGACATAATGGAATGCTATTTGGCCATACAAAACCTTAATAATGACGTCTGACGAAATTTCACAGGGTAAATAAGCACTACTTGCAGTGCCATATTCAGGGTCATGTACTACTGTAGTCGTAATGTAACACATTTGTAACACCTGACTATGTACCAACAGGTCGAGTTTGGGGGGTCAGGTGTCTTGTGTATATGACTGTACATGTGACAATAAATAAATACAATACTCACCGATATACCTATGATCGCTAGCACACACACGCATCGTCGGCGGCCGGTTTGTAGACGTCAACGTTTATTGGACGTCAGTATCATTATTTCTTGTATTCATGTAATATTCTGTAAAGAAACGTTTTTGGCAACGGCACGATATGCTCGTGCGAATTTGTTAAGGCTCAGCAGACTCGTGTGTGCTGTGGCTCAGGGACATTTAAAGGGTTGACAATGATGATTTAATATTTATATGATTTATAATTTAATACTTCCAGGTGCCCTCCTCGTAGAAAGACCAGCATCAATAGAAGAAGGATTTAGCCAGCAAGCACCTCTAGTCTATCACTTCGGTCACATGTCCCCGGGTGACAATTTAGAATTGTACAACACCATAGTGTCTAGGTTAGCGGAAGTCATAGCTGAGAGGTGCGAGAATAATAAGAAAGGTAACTAGTTTATATTAATACCAGTCAACGTTGTGTATGTGTATGTCGGAGCCAGCTATCACGTTAAACGTAATTTATTAGATAAACGATTTACTAGCCTGTTTGGTGTGCTGTGTGACAGCTCAAACTGGGTATGGTCGGAGAGAGGGGCCTTTTTATGTAAGCGACTTGGACTGTGAAGACGTACCGCCTCGCTCTCTGAACTTGCCGCGTGATATTTAGAATCCGTTTTAACCTCGTCCATCTCGTATACTTTCGGAGTAATTGCTGTGGAAAGTGCATAAAACAACTAATTGAAATCAATTAGTTGTTCAAAGTCTGAACGAATTGATAACGAAGAGTGAATTATTAAGTAATTCCTCCCTTTCCGGCCTTAACTCCGACACGTATATTAATTTTTAGATCCATTTTATTGTCAGTATGCCTATCAAAATGCCTAAGGTACTTAGTTTAGGCATCGCAACAACGCCTTATGATGATTATATCAAAATTAAGGTTCCTTTTTAACCGTTTAAAAAAGGAGGAGGTTCTCAAATCAACTATGTCACGCGATTGCTCCGACATTTGTGAACCGAGTCCGATTATTCTTTTTTTGATAGAAAGAGGGCACCTTAGTTATGGTCCCATTCAAATTTGAATAAAATATTCCACCTCTAGGGGTGGGAAATTAGGGGATCCGATTTATTAGATTTGTGAGAGGGAATTGCGCTATTTAATTCCGCCTTCCCCTTTTCATCATCGGGGGACCAGACATAGGCTGGGGTTTCATCCTTATGTTGTGGGTATTCCAAGGATTCGCACGAAGCGTATCGCTTCCACATTTATATGGCGAACGGCTAGGCGGTGGAATTCCCTGCATGCGCCTTTTCAAGGCGAGAGTGCATAGGCATTATTTAGGTGTGCATGCTACATCGTCGACTTCATCGTCACTTTCCAACAGGTCAGATGGAAGGCAAATGCGCACTTGTTTTTTAATAATAAAACTTTCTTCCACTTTCTGTTAACCGATTTTAATAAAACCTGGCATATATCGACTGTGAACTGGCAACCGGGACTATCACAATTTTCTAAAGATTTCACATTTTAATACCATTTTATACTATTTCATACTCCGCAGCGTTGCAAGAAATTCCATCTCAGATACATTTAAAATCGACTTCTTTCAACTTGTACAAACTTCTAACCAGATGCTACATAAATGACGCAAACAATTCTTTTCTTCATCCTGTAAAATTGTCGAAATTGAGATAGTACCGGTTGCCAGTTCACAGTCGATATATATAATTCTACAAACTTATGAGGTCTATTTAAAAAAAGTTATAGTCATTTATTTTAATAATATCACAGCTTTTTCTACATTTATTTTACCTGTATTTAGATTAAGTTATAATCAAATATAAATAAATATAATTAGTTATATTATGACGTGTTGCAGCGTCAACATCGGGTGTTATAATCAACACGTGCGGATGGGTTAAAGGTGCTGGTTACAAAGTGCTCACACATGCGGCTCAAGCATTTGAAGTTAGTACAGTTTATTGAGAAAAAGATCTAACAAACAAAAAGAAAAATTCCTTCGATCCGACCGGATAGGAACCAGAGTCTGTTGCCTCAACGTGGCTATCGCTCTTACCAAATTTTTACGATTTTTTTATAATACCAAGTGACGGGACTAACAATCCATAACAGTTGCAGTGCCACTCAGAGCTTTAAATCCCAAAGATCTTGAGGGCACTGCCACTGCGCCCGTAATCCTGAGACATAACTTGAAAACTCCCATGTGCCTGTATTTTCACCAGCACCGTTACTGCTTGGCGGCAGAAATAGGTAAGGTGGCAATACTTCCCTGGACGAACTCTTTCACAAGGAGCTCTACTACTACTTTTTTTTTTATTCGAACCAGCGCCTTCAGCATACCTTGCCTGAAGGCCCTGGTGCTGCTGGCGATTCGAATCCAGCCTGAGCGAAGGAATTTACTATTTAATGAAAATCTGTACATCATACGATATCGCGGTCCGAAATATGTTGTCGCTGCTTAACATCAGATGAGACTGAGGCAAAGCATGTCATTTTATTGGCAGTACTTCCCTGAACAAACTTTTTCACAAAGAGTTCTACAAAATTTCTCCATGTGTTTGCTGCGGTTCTTTATATTCGGTTGGCTTTTTAGCCATAGCATTAATGATAACAAACTAGAGGCTTTACAATTTTTTTTTTTGCCATACAACCACAATCTGTGGGTTACACAGACTTGGAGCCCTGGTCTGCTAATTTTGAATCATCTCATTTGTGCGCCGATGTTGTGTCAATGCCATTACCATTTTGTGGTACTCTGCTTTACAATGGTGAGTCGACGTGATGTCCATGGCGTAGTCTACTAATGATTTGACTTAAAAAATACATTTCGCACCCCTTATGGAAGAATGGCATAAATGAATATAGGTCAAAAATGTTCATTGCTCCATTGGATACATAAAAATATAACCTTACATCCTCTCCAATTCTTGTAACTCTATCGATGAATATTGTCGACAGAGTTACAAGAATTGGGGAAGATGTAGGTTATATTTTTCTGTATCCAATGGAGCAATAAACATTTTTGACGTAACTTCACTTATGCCATTCTTGCGATGGTGTGCAGGGGTGCGATTTGAATACTACATTACTGATTAAACGAGATGAAAATTAAGATATGCATAGTAAAGTCAGCTGCTGGTAGCTGTATGAAGACAAGCTATCACAGATTTCTCACAGATGACACTACTAGATCTGCAACAAGCACATAGAAAATTCGTAAGATCCGCTAGTTCGTTCCGTGGTTAAGTTGGCATACGGTCTGGCACGGTTTGCTGGAAGACGTTGATTCAGATCCAGCCGGATCGAATGATTTTTTCTTAGTTCGATCTTTGTATTAATAATTATTGCAAACTAGATTTTAGCTGATTTTTAATAACAAATATGATCATAATTTTCAATACGTCGAGTATGATATACCTAACCAGAAGTAGAGACGAAATGTCATTTAATTTGATTTAAAACTATTCTGCCATAACATTACGGTGACAACTGCACTCCGATTGGCCAGCTTGAAATCGAAGAAATTGACAGGAGTCGTCAATTGTTTCACTTCAAATCGACCAGTTTAACTTCAGCTTTGCTATAATGGACGAAAATTGAAAAATTACATATTTAATTATCGATGAAATGTGATTCCGTTTGTTTTGTAATTAGATTTTTTACTGTTTTTCCCACACCACCGAATAGACCAGCACGGCATTGTTAGAGATATTATCTTTATTACAATAAATACAGAATATTTTTGGAATATACGGAGACGTACACACAGGACAGTTGTAGACGGTGTACTATTTCAGCTTTCTAATTTGTAATTTCAGTGTAAACGAGAGTCGATATTTAAAAGTGATATAAGGCCCATTTACCTGATGAATTGCCAGGGATGGACGACCCTTATTTCGTCTCTATTTCTGGTTATATTCTCGATGTTTCAATTTAATCTCAGGTGGAATCTCAAAGTATTTACAATGACTAGTGGTTTCAAAAAAATTAAAAGATTTGAGGCCATGATGCGATAATGGCATGCGTTTGTCTTAAAGCGTCTGGCTTATAATATTTACTCTTCCAATTCGTTTTTCAGGTAGATGTAATATTGGTATTAGACAACGAGAGGTTGTTTATTGAGCTCAAGCGAGACATGCCCAAGTTCGTGAAGGTCGTCTATCTGCCCAAGAGCGGCGGGGTAAGACAGCAAATACTTAACTCTGTGTTGATTACAAACTAATTCACGATAAGTTTATTAGATAACATCACTTACTTTGCTGTGATCCCAAACTAAAGCACTTGTTTATGCAAATCCGAAACAACGATGATACCGCAAGCACTCAGACTCGAGACAATATTACAGGCCATTTAACTGAGTGGGTTCCTAAGGTAGCTGCGTAGTGAGGGAGGGGGTGACAGTTTACACAAGTTAAGGTGGTTTTCCACCGTCGGGGTGAGACGAGGATTAAAATTTGTATGATAAAATTTCAATTCTCTCCTAACCCATCTTCGGTGGAAATGGTCTGGATTGACGAGGCGAGAATTGGTATATTTGTTAATGTAATATTGATCCGTATTGCTGCCTGTATAGAGTATTATTCTCTGCAATGGAAACACGATTTCTCGCGCGATCTCGCTAGCGCCCGCACGGTCTCAAGCGAACTCGCGATGGCTTTTAATATCAATTGCAAGATTGTGGGGTACGTACGGTTTGAGATTTAAAAATAGATGGTTTTATCTGATTCTGCTTCCGTTAGCATATTTAATAATAATAATAATTTACGGGACATGTTACTTCCGCCGCCTATTTATCGCTAGATGAATTGAACAGCACTGAATCTTCACTATCCATAGTCACAGCGCGAGCTTGCGCGAGATATTAGCAAAATTTTTGGTGGAAATAGGCCGGCGAGATTTAAATTCTCGTCTCTCCTCATTTAGTCTCGCCTCGCCGGTGGGAAACCACCTTTATGGCCGCACTGCACACGAGAGAGTTTCAACTAGATTTCACGAATTTGCATAACAAGTTGATACAAAGAGAAGTGTCTACTAAATTAGTCAATTGTTGTTATAATAGGAAATGAAACTATTTTTCCGGATTTAAATCGCGTATATTTGTTTTTTTCAAACAAACCAACGTTTCGAGCCCTTAACAGGTCCCATGGTCACGGCTGACTGAGGTGGTACAGTCATTAACCAGTTATATATAATATTAATACAAACCACCCTTTTTTTTAACCGACTTCAAAAAAGGAGGAGGTTCTCAATTCGACTGTATGTTCTTTTTTTTGCATGTATGTTACGCGATAACTCCGGTATTTGTCGCGATTTGAAGATAATCATCCACTTCTAAGGGTGGCTGTTCACGCATGAAGATTTCTATAAGTACCGCCTAAACTTTAATTTAGGAGCAATTATTTTAATGGTTGATTTTGCTATTTCTCCAATTTAAGGCGTTTTTCTCTCAATATACTTTGAGTAGTGAGAACCGATTTTTATTATCTCCAGTGTCAAGTCCTGTATAGTGCCGAACTAGGGGATATTTCAATAAAACTTAGCAAATAGACGTAATTCCACGTACTATTGAGGTCGGTTTTTTTAGTACTCTCTACTGAGATTATTTATTTTTTTTCACTAAAGTTACAAAAGTTATTAATACTGGATCCCAAACTGCTGGCACGGAGAAACCATCTTCCCTGTTGAAATTAGGATGTTTTTTAATTTCAATGACCTCTTGCAGCATCCTAGGTACATTAACGGACTTCTTTTGCAAGGACCTGGGGTTTGTCAAACTTCATTGAATGTGTAGGTTTATCCATGACATGCTCGCAGTCCTGCAGACTTGTTTACGCGACGGTCTTTGACTTGTGTCAAACACAAATATACGGAAACGGAAAAATAGTTTCATTTCCTATGTGTAAAATCGCGAAAACCTAAGAACTCGGTATAAAAAGATATGTTAATCACTTTAATCTGTGCGTCGAGTACCGTGTTTAGGCCACGAGGCTTTGCCGTGAACTAAATACTTTTTCATTGAGTAATTATTTATAATATATGCTGTAATGTCGTATTACGCAACTACAGGTGGTTGAGAGATCTTCGTCGCAGCGCGCCGAAGGCCGCGACGCCCGCATCCGCGAATATTTCTACGGCAAACGTACACCGTACTACCCCCACTCATTTGACGTCAAATTCACCGATCTCAAGATATACAAGGTGAGTTAAGTTTCGTTGTTTTGTCGGTATATGGTCATCTTTACAAAGCAAATTAAGTGGACCATCCACTAGGTATTTAGTTAACTGTTAAATACTAAGCAGAGTTGAGACTTGGATACTTCGGATGTCGCTTGTGCACTAAGTCAGTTACGAATCCAAGAAAGTACGAATATCGCTAGAGATAAAATGATCCCAGTGACATTTCGGACCGTCTTTTCTCGAATTCGGAAAAGATACTAATGGAACGTAGTGCGCAAACCTCTTATTGGTATTACAGCGTGCTTGCCAACAAAATGATTCATGTGTTTTGGCTATTAGGCTCTGACGCTTTATTTCAAATTCGTAGAAAAAAAAGGAACTGGTTTCCCATTGTTTTCATTTTTGATTGACGATCTCCATATAATAATACATACAAAGATCGAACACTCAGAAAAAGTCCTTCGGTCCGGCCGGATTCGAACTGACGTCTTCTAGCATACCGTGCCAGACGCTATACCAACTAAGCTATAGCACGAACCAGCGGACCTCACGTGCTTGCGTCGTATCTTTGTATTTGGTTTTTCAACGACTTTTTAACCGTAGCGCCATCTATGAGAAATCTATGACATTTCGTCACCCAGTTAGATACCGTTACAGCTACCAGCCCCGGCTAGAGATGTCGCTATTCATTGTATTTAAATTTTTATTCAATTGATATTAAATTATTTTTAGAGTTCGATATAATTTCTTACACTTTAATATTATATTTAAGAAATAAATAATCTAATCATCACTGATCGGAATAGAGGGGAGTTAATTTAGCTAAACTAAAGAAAAACGTGGACATTCCCTTCTACAAAACCCGGGACTTCTCGGAGCTCATTTGAATATGCGTATTATTTATAGAAATTTGAGTTCATTGGCGACAAATTACTATATCCTATTAAGTATTTGCTACAAATCATTTTGTACAGGTACTTACGTATTTAAATACTTTAGCCATTTAAAAAATAAACATGAAACAAAGTATATTTTGAATATCGAGTTCTTAGGTTTTCGCGATTGTTACACATAGGAAATGAAACTATTTTTCCGGATTTAAATCGTGTACGTACGTGTACTTGTTTGGTTGGTTTTATTGGTTGACTGTCAACCGTGACCATGGGACCTGTAAAGGGCCCGAAACGTCGGTTTGTTTGAAAAACAAATATACGCGATTTAAATCCGGAAAAATAGTTTCATTTCCTATATATCTTGAATGTTTAGAAAATAAACAGTCAAAAAAGAAATATTACACGCATTGATGACGAATTGGGTATGTCCATACTAAGAATACGTTCATACTTTAGGTAGATTAACTCCTTCAATTCCGATCACACCTAATCATAAATATAAAATCTGCGAGGTCCAATAGTATATGAATGACGAAAGTTATACAACATAAACCATAATTAGCGGAACAATAAATAACAATTAAATTAAAATCTCCTGAAATCGACTTAGTACTCAACCTTCATCGAAAATAAAGCGAATTAAAAAAAAACGGTTTGTTTGAAAAAACAATTCTTTGGCCTTTATAAATTTGACCGAATCTCACACTATCGCAATCAACTCAAATAGCTTCCCATTCGTTTCCGCAGGAATTTGCATATTGTCTCTGTTCTCTACAATATCCTTCATAACCCTTCGTCTCCTGAGTTTCTGAAAGAGCGTTTCAGCTTTCTCAGGTCTCAGGACAAACCCTGTCGCTCTCTCGTTAGATCCCAGTTATCTTTTCATCTTGTAATCGACTACTCAACATTTATTGAAAATAATTCGAAATTATAATGCATTTTTTTAGATTTTGTGACAAAGCAGAAAAAGGTGATCCTTTTTAAATAGAAAACCATTGCGAGATTCGGACATATTAACTAAACTAAAGGATGACCTACGAACTTAACTCGAATTTTTGCTCGACATGTAACGAACCAGTTCGTGTCCACAATCACGAGATTCCGCGGCGGTGATTCGATCGAAAAATTTCCGACAACAGTTTCCATCGAGTCCACTCATGAGACCTTTGAGATCACGAAC